TATTATTATTATTATTATTATTATTATTATTATTATTATTATTATTACTATTATTATTATTATTATTATTATTATTATTATTATTCGTTTTATTTACTTTTTCGATAATTACTTTAATATATAAATAATAAGTTGATAATTTTTCAAAAAAAAAAATAATCGTGAAAAAGTACATAAAATATTATTATTAACTTGATTAAATTTAATCAACTTATGGGATTTAAAAAAGTTGGAAAAACGGAAAATTCGTTATTTTTTCTTTTTTACAAGAAAATTTTTTTGGAAAATTAGATCCGAGAGTAAAATATAATCTCAAGCGATCAAATCAATGATTAGGTTAATGACCTTTTATTTTTTCTTATCAACGAAGGCCGAAAATAAGGTTTTCTCTATTAAAAAAAACACATGTTTGTTTATTTATTATTATTGTTTATTTATTAACTGTTTTAATTATTTATAAAAACAAATGATACAAACGATCAGGTAGAATTTTAATAATAATAATAATAATAGTAATAATAATGATAAACGATAATGGGGTGAGATATTAATTAAATATCTGTAGGGAAAAAAATTTTTTGAAAATTTTTCTTTCATTTTTTTTTTACCTTTAAAATCGAAATTTCTTTTATTTTAATTGGGGGAGGGGAGCGGAAAAGTACAGGGGGAGGAAATAAAAGTGACGGTTAAAATTTTTACGAGAGAGACGAATGTAAAAATATTAATAATAATGATAATTTTCGAAACGATAAAAAATATCATTTAAATCTTTATCGATTTCATTTCCATGATAAAACTTATTTAAAAAATTTTATAATGTTGAAAATGAGGGGATGGGGGGAGGGGGAAGAGTAAAGGGAGGAGGTGGACCCCCGAAAAAAATATTAAAGTTGAAATTTCGAAAAAAAAAAAAAAGTTATTAAGGTCATGCAAACATAGAAATGAATAATATTTCACAAATAATTTAAAATATTTCAATAAATATATATATTTTTTGTCGTGGGATTAATAATGAAATGAATATTACGATTACCGTTTACATGTTGTACACGACAGCGTTATTTTTTTCTTCCTCCACGTTTTTTTTTTTTTTTTTCACATCTTCATTTTTATCTTACGCTTCAAAGCATTGACTTTTTTAAAATACTATTGAGACCATCACAAAAACAACATTTTATTTTATTTTATTTTATTTATTTATTTATTCTCTCTCCCTCTCTCTCTCTCTCTCTCTCTCTCTCTCTCTCTCTCTCTCTCTCTCTCATTTCTGTCAGTTTCATTTCATTATTTACCAAAAAAAAAAAAAAAATTTTTTTAAATCTCAGAAGGCCGTCCTCAACCTTGTTTTTATTTTATTTGTTTATAAGGCAAAAATATTCCCCCCCCCCCCGTTACTCTTGACTTATTATAAAATTTAACGCGTGAATTTTTTTGATTTTTAAACCTTTTTAAAAAAGGATTTTCTTTTTCGGGGAAGGGGGGAGAAGGGGGTACGACGACGACTACACTTTAAATCTTTCAACAACCAAAAAAAACTTTTTATTACGATATAAATTACGTTTAAATCACTTAAAAGTTTTTCATTTTTTTTTTGGAGAAAAACTTATCATATTGATAAATTTCGATATTAGTTTCGATTTATTTCGATATAAAAATCAAAGTGGAATTAGAAAATTGATCGCAACTCTTATAAAATGACGATTTTATTTTTTTAAAATAGGTAAATAGAAAGAAATTAAAGGGAGGGAGGGGGGAGAAAAAAGAAATCGGGCAAAAGGTTTTTTCCCATTATTTTTAAAATATATAAATAAAAAAAAATCTCAATGAGACAGAAAAAAAAGAGAGACTTAGAGAGAGAGAGAGAAAGAGAGTAAAGAAATAAAACCTCTCGAAAAATATTTTGAAACTTTTTATAAGATTAGTTGTTGAGAGGAAAAAAAAAAAGTTTTCCCATTTGAAAAAAAAAAAATTTTCCTTTTTTTTTTTTTTTTTAAATAATTTTTTTTTTTCATATTGAAAATTAATATTTTAGATATATGTAAACAAAGGAAAATGAGTATTTACATATGAAAAAATAATAATAATAATAATAATAATAATAATACTTTCTTTTAAAAGGTAAATTTTACTTGTAAATAACGATTTTGTAACGTTATACGTTGTACAAGTTTAAAAAAAAAAAAAAACATGGAGTCTAAATAACATAAATTTTTATTTTTTTGTTTACTTACAAAATTCCCCCCCCTCCCTCCCCCCGCCACTCTTTTCGCTTTCTTTTTTTTCCCTCACAATTTTCTGGTTTCTTATGGTATAAAAAAAAAAAAAACTATAAAAATTTAAATTTTTAAACGTAAAAAAAAAAAACGTGTCACGTCACATATTGATTTTTGCATTAACGATTAATAAAAAAAAAAATTTTTTTTTTCCCCCCCCCCATTGTTTATTTAACTCCCATTTAATTTTAAGTCGAATCCACAATAGTAAACACACAGGTAAATTTTTTTTTTTTTTATTAACAATAAACAATTCACATTATTTTCCTTGAAATTTAAAAAAATAAAAAATCCTTTCTTCCCTTTTTTTTTTTGTTTATTCCCCAAAGAGAGAGAGAGAGAGATTGAGAGAAAAGAGAGAGAGGGGGGTAGAGAAAATAAGGAAAAGAGTAGAAAATGAATATTGAAGGTATTAAAAAAGGATTTTTTATTTATTTATTTAATGCCAGGTTGACGTGAGGAATTTTTTTTTTTTTTTTTTTTTTTCATTTCTTCGAATGTATTTTAAAATGCGGAGAAAAATAAAAAAAAATGATTATAATGGAACGAATTAAAATCGATGGATTTTCATTATTATTATTAAAAAAAAAAAATTATTCATTAGTATAACCACGTCGGCCATTATTTGATTTTACAAAAGAATAATTTAAGAAAAAAAATTTATGTATTAATAGAAAAGGGTTCGTTTTTTCATATTATTATTTTCTTTTATTTATTTATTTTTAATACCTATTTCCTTCCTTTCTTTAACCTTCCCCCCCCCAATCGTATTTTTCATTCACTTTCATTTTTTAAATTGATTTGAATTTTCAATTTTTATTATTATTATTATTATTTTTTTTTTTTGATTTTATTAATGGAGTTGACGCTATTCGTGATTTATCAACAAAAAACATTTTAAATTTATTTATTTTGAGATTCATGGCGTTAAACAAAATATTACGTGCACATAATTGTTTGCAAAAAAAAAAAAAAAAAAACGTGAATGACTGATGGTTTAAAGTTACAAATGACTATAATTTATAGGAAAAAAAATTTAAATTTTTTTTTGTTTAAGCGTTAAATTGTAATTAAATTGTAATTTAATAAAATTATAAGTTATATCTATTTTTATTGGCACGAATTTTAATGGAGGAATGTGTGACTGATAAATAAAAAAAATTTATTTATTTTTTATTTATTTCAGATGAAGAATTTGGAGAAAAATCCGTTTCAGTTTTATTAGACGAAGAAGAATCTGAATTAATATTCGTGGATCATCCATCAGCCGAAATGTCTGTAAGTTTTAATAATTAAAAAATTAATATAAATAAAAATATATCGAAGTCTAATGTTTACATTTCGGATAAAATATTAATACAATTTTTCAACACCAGAATTCGTTGTTAATAAAGTGGCATTAGACGTGATTACGTTAGGTTCGTTCGTTCGTCCGTTTTTTTTTTTTTGTTTTGTTTAGTTGGCAGCGACGGTTGTCTGCCAGTTTTTATTTAAAAATTTTCGAAACGAAACGACTAAGCATCAAAGGTAAAATTTAATTAATTATTTGAATTTAAAAAAAAAGAAAAATTGTTAATTAAAAAAGTTTTCCCATTTGTTTTCTCTTTTAAATTTTTTTAACATTTCTACGAAATTGAATTGCCTAATTAATTGGGAAAACGGAAAGTTTTTTTTTTAAACTTTGTATAAATTGAAAATTATAGCCAGAAAATTGCATCACGACGTATCAACCTCAAGCATATATAATTGTTTACTCAGTAGTGGATCGATCGAGCTTTCAAATAGCAGAAGAAACTTTACAATCCCTTTGGAAAACAGATTCGATAGGATCAAAAGCGGTTATATTGGTTGGAAACAAAACGGATCTTGTACGTAGCAGAACGATCACATCTGATGGTAAAATTCAATTCTTTTTAAATTTATAATTGTTCACATTGGTGATAAAAGATGACATGATTGTTTTTCTTTTTATATCAGAGGGTAAAAACATGGCGAGATCGTACGATTGTAAATTTATCGAAACTTCTGTCGGTATCAATCACAACGTGGATGAACTTTTGGTCGGAATACTCACGCAAATCAGACTGAAAATACAACAGGCGACAAAACCCAAAAGGAATAAATCTCCTTTGGGTAGATGCATAGGAAAAGATAGCGACTCACCGAAAAAATGGAGAAAAAGTCGTTTGACAGCTAGTTTAAAAGTAAAAGGATTTTTGGGAAGAGTTTGGGTGAGAGACAGCAGAAGTAAAAGTTGTGAAAATCTACACGTTCTGTAGTAGTATTCAAAATAACAATTGGAAAATCAGGTATTTAACTCAAAAACCAACAAAATACAATAAAACCAGTTTATTGTTATGAAAACTTTAAAAAAAAAAAAAAGATTTGATTTTTAAATTAGTAATTAAATTATATCGACTTTTGTTATTGATGTTGCCAACAAAGTGCGCATGCGCCATTTTTACTTTTTGTTTTCATTAATTAAACTTTTTATTATTAAAAATGAAACCAAAAAAATTTTTTTTTTGTTTTCAGTTTACATGTTTGTCAATTTAATTGAAGAAAACTTTTTTCGTCGAGCAGATTGTAAAGCAACTTTTGGGGCAAATTATTTAACTTATGCTGTGACGCATATAAACAACAACAACAAACAACATTCATTTATTTATAAAAAAGAAAGGACAAAAAAAAGGTAAGCAATTTTCTATTTTTTTTTTTTGCATTTTTAATTAATACGATTTAATTTTTATTGAAACAAAAAAAAAAATGTTATTAACAAAAAAAAATTATTATTATTATTATTACGTAAAAAAAAAATGGGTCCACATCGTTGATAATTAACAATTTAAAAAAAATTTAGCATATGAAAACTATAAATAAAAAAAAAAAAAAAAATTAAACAATGGACGTTGTATATCAAATTGTTGTTATAACATCATTATTATTATTATTATTATTATTACCGCACATTATGGGTATAAGAAATTTTTTTTTTTTTTTTTTTTTTTTGTTAAAAAAATTAAAAAAAGGTAGTCGAAAAATTTAAAAAAAAATTTTTTTTGGGGCCTATAACATATATAAAACGAGACCAACCTTCTTATTAATTAGTAAAAAAAAAAGAGACATTTCAAGTCTGTCAACGGGGCCAACCTTAGTAAAATAAATTCATTGTTTTTAAACGTGCTTTAAAATTAATAATATTAACTTATTATCGTTTAATTATATTAATAATGATAATAATTACTATCAAAGCGTGTACGATAAACAATAATACATAATTTTTTTTTTTTGTTTGTTTGATCGTTTAGCTTGTACATAAATGCATAAAAACGTTTATTATTATTATTATTATTATTATTATTATTATTATAAAAAATTGCAATTATTATTATTACTATTAATAATTTGAAAATAAATGTAAGTTAAATTAATTAATTAATATGTGAAAAAATTTGATGATTAAGGATGGGTTTTTTTTTTTTTTAATTTTAGTTTTTGTAATGTGGGAACAAAAATCGCATAAAAAATGTTGTTTAGTAAAAAAATCAATGATTAAATAATAATAATAATAATAATAATGTTATTATAATTTAATACTCTCCCGGTTTTTGTTTTAATTAATCATGATTTAAAATAACAACAATTGTTTTAAACAAAATTAAACAAAAACAAAAATTTACACACAAAAGGATTTTTATTGTAACCGTAATAATGATAATAATATTGATTTTATATTTTTAATCATTTTAATTTATTATTATTATTATTTTTTTCCCCCCACGTAATTTTTTCAAGTAATTTAAATGTATTTATGTAAAAAAAAAAAAAAAAAAGAAAAAAAATCGATAGTGATAATGTAATAATAATAATAATAATAATTGTAATTACACATAGAGGGACCATAAATTTTGTAAATAAAAAAAAATTAAAAATTAAAAAAAGATCCCTTATAAAAAAAAAAATAATAATAATAATAATAATAATTCGAATGCTTTCTTTTTATTATTCATTTGTAAATGTAATTTGATGTTTTTAAAAATTTTTATGCACACACACACACACACACACACGAAATTATTCGCATTTTGTATATTTAATATAAATAATTAATAATAATAATAATGTAAACGTTTTTTTAATATTTATAGTCCGGGGGGAGGAGCGGGGAGCGGGAAGGGGAGGGTCGGGGGAGGGGCTTTTAATTTTTTGTACGAATAAATAAAAATCGCATTTACATTTAATTTATAATAAATTTTTTTTAGTTTATAACGTTTGTGTTAATTTTTAAGTTATAAACAAAAGGAAAATGTTTTGAAAATATTTTAGGTCCCCCAAAAAAATAATTTCGACGACGGTCTTCCTCCTAAAATAATAATAATAGAAAAAAAAAAAAAAAAAAATTCATTTGAAACAAACAGAAAAATCGACTGCCTTAAATTTTATTTATTTTTAATCGTTATTATTATTATTATTATCGATAAATGAAAGGCAGTGTATACACCGTGTCAATATTGGGGTCAATAATTTATTTTTTTTTTTTTAATTAAATAAATTATTTAGATTATAAACGTTCGTTATGGTAAAAAAATAAATAAATAAATTGTTGTACTAAAAAACAAAATTATTATTATTATTATTTCTTTTTTCATTGTAACTTTTTTTTTTTTTTTAATTGAATAATATAAATTATTACAATTTAAAATTAAGTTAAAAATATTGTTAACATTTTAATTTTATTCACGTTAATTTTAAACGAATAAATCATTAAATTATTATTATTATTATTATTATCATTCGTCATTTTGATCACGTGGTGTGACTCCTGTTGAAATTTCGTATTCGCCAATGACCCGAACATCTGCAAGAGCGAGACCATCGATGATCCCAAGCGACGATTGCTGCCGTTCTCCTACTCGAACTTGTGACTTGAGCTTTGCTCCCGCATCTGCAACAAACGTTTGTTTGTTTGTTTGTAAAGTAAACATTTTTAAATAAATATCATGCACGAAGACGACGACGACGACGACGACATACCTGGAACATTGTTTTATTAAAAGCGGATGTTTTCCCAAGAAAACGTGTCTGAAACTATCGACCATTAATTCCGGTTGGTACCCGTTTTCCGCGTGGATTTTATCCGGAACGTATTCTAAAAAATCTGGTTCGACGCCGTAATACAACTGGAGAAAAAAAAAAAAATTCAATCAATCAATCAATCAATCGTCTTTGACGGATAAGAATTTCCCGTTTAATTTTTACCTGCATTGGTAACGATTGGGTAAACAAAGCCGGACTTAAAACCTGTACCGTAGTATTGCAGAAATTCATTTGTGGTATTGACACTTGATTGGGAAGAGAACAACATTCATCTTGAAAGGAAGAAAAAAAAAGAGATGAAACGATCATCAAAGAACACGTTTAAAATCGAATTGCAAATGAACATACCCAACAAACTTTCGTCGGATTCCGATGTTTGAATTAATCTTGACAACAACCTGAAGAGCAAAGGCAAAACATCGAAATTTTCAACACTTCCGACGAATACCGGAAGACAGCTTTGACACAGCAAACCCCAAATTCTAATTATGACGAGCAATTCTCTGAGAGTGCTTAAAGCTTGGTAATCACGCGTCAGCGTATACTGAAAAATTCAACGCGTTTTTTAATATAATCTTTTTTCTTTAAATTAAAAATAAAATTGTAAATATTTACTCCAGAATTTTTATTGGACGTCGTCCTTTGTTCGGGTAGTCTCGCCAATAAATTCAACGTTAAATCTGCTATCCATTGAATTAACTGTTGAAGAGATTGCAGTGTGCTAGGTTCGACCGTGAATTCTTTCGCTTCCAAATGTAAAAGAACTTTGTCCACGTCTGTGACAGGATCGTTCAAAACGGCTGTAATGTGTGGTACGTGTACATAATATTTTAAGGTACGAAATTCATTTAATTAAATTTTGAAAACCGAGTAATTTTTTTTTTGTAATGTACCGGCTAAACTTTCAGCGGGTCCTTTATCATGATTAGACATGTCCGATGGCCTGAGTAAAGTCTTGAATGCCGTGGCTATAGAGTAGAGCATTAATAGGGATGTTAAATCAGCTACTCTTGACTGTCCATTTGCGGCTATCCTGAAAATAATTGTCTTCGTTCGAAGTGAAATGTTTCAAGAGAGAAATCTCCCTAAGGAAACCTGATAACGAACGTACCTGTACAATGACGTTTTTATACACAAGAACTGAACGTTGTAAAATTGTTTTGAAGCACCGTTTTGCCTGTTGAAACTTTCCGTAAATTTTTCAACAATTGCTTCCAACATTGATGACCTTATCGAAACCAACAAATCCCACCAATCTAAACCGGTTACCAAACAGTATTCTAAAAGTGTGCAAGCATACGGAACCGTTATAGGACCACCTGAACAAAACAAAATGAAAATAATGATAATGGAAATAAATAAAACGAAAAAAAAAATGGCGCGAAAAAAACTTGCCATGTTCGGATATCGGCGTCAGTCTATATAAATACAATTGACCGTGAGTATCAGTACAAACTAAAACGTTTCCCAACCAAGATATATCCATTCTTGATAATTTAACACTAAGTTTTTGATGTTTTGCCATTGTAGAATCTTCATTCCGATACGCATTGTTAATATTTGTCGTTGATACCTTTGAAAATATCGAATGTTACTTTCACTACTGACACGTCTTCCAACTGAAAAATTATAACGAACTCGTGCAAACTGACCTGTTTCAGAGATTCTCTAAATAAACAATGTATCGTTCCATCCGTGAGAGCAACTATGATGTACGAAGGAGGAGGTACCGTAGAGGTAACACTTAATTTACTTGTTGTTACGCATAGTATTTGACTAGTTGCCCTAAATTGAGATTGGTGTTGCCACAGCTGAAACATTTATTGTCATTATTCGGTGCTCGATCGTTTAAAGTGCGTGAATTTTAGAGTTAACAGAAACTTGCCACCGTTTTAAGAGGTTCAACAGGAGCAGAATGTTTCGATTGAAATAATTTATGAATAGGCAAAGGTTTTTCCCTAAGTTCCCATATTTCGATTATACTCCCAGATTCACCATTCGCAGCTACAACTAAAGAATCAGTATCTTCTCTCACGACAAATTTCAATTCAACAATTTTACGACCTGAAAAAAAACAATTTTTTTAAAAATAATATCAAACTAAAATTGAAAAATTGAAAGAAAAAAAAAAAAAAATTAACTTACAACTGCTTTCATTAACAGGAATGTTTTGTAGGAAAAAACTAGGTAGTGCCTGGGAAGTTATGATACATTTATCATCAACTTTTTTCACAGAAACTCTATAACACTGAATAGGTAGTTTGACGTTACCGCTGCTCACAGCTATTAAAAATTGACCATCTAGAGAAAATTTATGAAGTTAATAATTTACTACAAATGCTTTTTAGATAAACATACTCAAAATGTCATACTTTTCCCATAACATATATCGGCAGATGTAATCCTATTTCTCATAGTTCCTAAGCTTTCAGAAACTGAATGCAATGTAGAATTTTGTAAGTCTTTTGTAAGTACAATTATTCCAACCATTCCAGTCGCAGATACTACTAAGCAACCTTCGAGAGGTCTTCCACCGAAACTTTTTACAGAAGGTGCTACCCTGTGATGACTAAACTTTTCACTGTATTGAAAATTATCTTTCTTTTCTATAACTAAACTTGTCTAAAAATTTAAACAAAATTTACCTTTTTTTTTTTTTTTTTGAAAAAAATTCCACTTTAAATCAAATCAATTATATTACCTTTCTGCCATTGTGAAAAAATGCAGCTGACAATATTTTTTCTCCATGAAATACTGCTGAACCGTAACAAACCCATTCATTTAATATGTGTTCTTTCATTCCCCATATTTGAACCTTTCCATTCAAATCTGCAATCACTAAATTTTCACCTCCTAAATCCCATTCTAATACTGTTATAGTACAAAGATTTGATGTGACTCTAAAATCAAAAGGTATATTTATTAAGTTATTTTTAAATTGAAATTTTTTTTTTTAATTCTCGACAAAAGTTCAATTTTTAAATACTTGTGAGCAAGCCATGGCGAATTTAAATCAGCTACATAAACATGAGATCCCCAAGAATTTGCTGTGGTATCTGTTACGGTGGTGACAGTTGTAAAAGCCAATAAATTTTGATTTGAAATAGAACATAGCGAACAACCACTGGTTAAGCTAGGAAAAATTACACATAAATTATTTATCATTCTCAAAATTTTCATTTATTTTTGTCATAAATTAAATAAGTAATCAACTTAAGATAAATAAGATCAACTTTTACCAATGATTAAATATAATTTTAAAAAAAAATCTTATGTAAATATAAATAACAGTTATTAATTGTGTTTACCTTTCGAATTGTTTAAGAGGATTAATAGTATTGTTATTTAATTTACGAGAAACTGTATAAAGTAAATCCATTTTTTTTGGTAACCCTCTTCATTCTAATCACTCAGACTGACTATTTTTTTTTTTTTTAGGTTTCGTATTTTCGTTTTAAATAATAAAAAACGTTTACGAATGAATATTTAAGAAAATTATGAATTCATAATAAAACTTTTCAATGTCTTTTCATGCGTATTCGATAACATTAACTCTCTCACAAGCATTAAACTTAACTTTTTTAATGTCCCTACTGCCAACAAAGCTTCCTAAATAAACATTAAATTTATAACGTTGGTAGCACGGTCGTATAGAAAATTTCCAAAACGTAATATGTTATTTTATTTACTTGAGGAAAGGTTTGCTTTAAAAATAACGTGTAAGCCGGTAAAATATTAACTCATATCTTGTTTTGATTTTCAGGTAGAATAATTTTTACGGAATCTGTGTCGGGGTTTTCGCTGGATTCTGAATTTCAGTGACAAAATCCGTCTTTTTATATTTATTATTAAGAGAAATTTAAAAAGGTATTGTGCGTAAGAATAATCATAAGGATTCATTACAGAATTGACATTTCTTGTTAATTTATTTTTAAAATATTTTTTGATTTGTAAAAAACCGTCTTTTTAATCGTTAAATACGAGAAATTTGTGATAAATTAAAATTAAAAAAAACATTATGTGTATATATTATGCTGAACATATCTTGGCTTGGGATTTCACCATTTTAAATATAACAAAACGCCCATCTAAGAAATTTTGTTATTTGTTAACTTGTTTTCGTTTTTTTAAGCGGTTACATTTTTTTGTTTTGTTTTTAATTAAAAATGAAAAGTTTTTTTAAAATTTATTAGCCGGTTTTTTATTAATTACATCGTCGCAATTTTTCCGAATCATTTTTCGAACGTATTAGAATGAAAAAGAAAAACAAACTTAATTAATTTTATTTCAAAATAAATATTTTATATGAGAATTTTATTTAAAATGTAACGTAACGAATTAATTAATTTGATTGAACTAAATTAATGAATGATTTTTAAAAAACGTAATGTTTTTTTTTTTTTTTTTTTTATTTATTTTTATATATTTATAAATTGTTTATTGTTTTTAGTGAATGTAAAGGAGAAGATAATGGAGCAAAGGCAAACACAAAACTTTCCAAATCTTCCACCCAATGTTTTCATACAATATACAACCCCACAAAATAATGGGGATAAAAATTATTATAAAATTGAAAACATACCATTCCAACCGAATGCTGTAAACATAAATCTTGGTCAACCAATTTCATTAATTAATCAACCATGTGTTTTAAATCAAAACAATACAAGTTTTATTGGTAATTCTTGTGTGACTACTGCTGCAGCTAATTATGTTAGTCTGTCTACAGGGAACTGGAATCATGGAATGCAACAAGTACATTTTTGTTAATTTTTTTAAGTTTAACTCCGTTTGTACTAAACAAAAGTTAAAATTTCATTTATCAATGTGTTGTAATCTATTGTAAAATGCATGTTTTTCATTTAAAAATTAATTTATTATTTCAATAAATGTTTATTTACAGGTAAAACCTGACGATCAGATGATTTATCAGATTATGTATCCGATTATTGATAACACTGGTTCGTTAGATGGTCATCAACTTGCGACAAAACAAACTGTGGATGCTAATGTTCTTACGACAGGCACTTGCACTGTTCTTAGTCCTGCAAAAAATATTCCTAAAAAACATATAATTAATAGTTATACAGTGATAGAAAAACAAAATCAATATACTAATACAGAAGCAGTATCCATTGCAGGTTGTTTTATAATTTTTATAATTTTTTTTTTTTTTATGCTTTTTAATTAAATAATTTTATATTTAATTGATGATAACGAAATTAAAAATTTTAGTCGTAGGAGATGAAACTCATAGCTTGCAAGAATTACAAGAAGAAATTGATGAAAAGGGGAAGAAAAAGGGAAAAACTAAAGAAAAAGAAAATGAAAATAGTAGTTTTGGATGTCAAATTTGTGGAGAAGAATTTAAATCAAAGGGTAGTTTGAGATTTCACATGTTTCATCACAATCCGAAATCTAAAAATAAATTTCAGTGCATCGGGTAAGGTTTGAAGTTGTTTAAAATGTTAAAATTGATTTATTTTGTTTTATTTGGTGTTGAAAAACGTCATTTTGTAACACATGTCTTATATTTTTAGGTGTAATGAAGGTTTTGAAAAAGAGAAATTAAAACAAGAACACGAATTGAATTGCGAGCAAAATTATAAATTAGCAGAATTGGAATGTTGTTTTTGCGATTTGCCTTGTAGTACTCCTAAGCAGCTTAGAAATCATGAAAATAAACACAGGCCAATTAGAAAAACTAAAAGGTATAGAAATACATGTGTTTGCATTGAATGCAAAAAAGCATTTGACGCCATTTTGTCTCTAAAGGTTTGTTTCTTTTAAATATAATTATGTACACATTCGCGGATTTTCACGAATTATTTTTGATCGTTTATTTTGTATTTCAGGTTCATATTCAGAAGCATCACAAAAAATCACACGTTAAACCTTTGGAAAATAAACCGTTTACGTGTAGTGAGTGTGGATTAGGTTTTCGCTACGAAAGATCTAAAATAAAACATGAATTTAAAGCTCATACAAAACAGGAGTCGACGTCATTATGACAAACAATGGACCGCTACATTGTTAACAACAATGTCAGCGGTCAAACCGGAGAACAGGTTAATAGTTAACAACAACAAAAAAACAAAAAAAAAACAACAAATCAACGGTGTTTTTAATTTTTATTTAAAATAATTTTTAGCCTGGTCCTGAAAACAAGGGGTTAGACGTAGGGGTTAATGCGGGAGGAGAAAGTACCGTAATTACAAACGATCCTCAGACAACTTACATAATTCACCCAGGTACAAGTAAAATGATAGAAGCAGCAAGTTTTAAGTTAGACGCAGAAGATCATCATGGCGACATGGAAGATATTGAGAGCGATTCGCAATTCGGTACCAAACAAATTGTAGACAACCAATTTAGCGAAAACGTTAGCAACACGACGTATATAATCGACAATAATTCGTCCAGTTCAATCGATGGCGTTCGAATTGCCAATCACAGTTTCGTACCTGTTGTAGACTCGTCCCTTTATAATATATCGGGTAAACGTTTATCCTCACGCATGTTATTTTTCGATTAGAAACAAAAAAAAAAAGTAAAATTTTTTACGTTAAAATTTTGGTTTTTGCAGTTGCAGGTGGCACTGCTCAATACACGATAGGTGGCGTCGTCAATCCGGGGGTAGGAAATTACATAATCGAAGCTCCGGCTTATATCGTAGAAACAAAACCGGTAGAAACGCATGCAATGTACATACCTCAACCCGAAGACTGTGGTCAAACGGTTCAACAACCGGAAGTGGAAGAAGAACGCAAACCGGGAAAAACGAAAAAGGCGACGGAAAAAAAGAAAAAGGAACAAGAAGTGGGTCCGTTTTTTTGTTACGTTTGCAGCGCGCAATTTCACACGTCGGCCAGTTTACGGTTTCATTCGTATCATCACAATCGTAAGAGTAAAAGGTTTTCGTGCATCGGTTGCGAAAAAGCATTTGAAAAAGACAAGGAAAAAGAAGAACACGAACTCTCGTGCGAAGTTAATTACACGAAAAACAAATTTAAGTGCATATTTTGCGATTTGCCTTTCGGCACGCCGAAATCGTTGAGAAATCACGAAAATAAACACAGGCCGGTGAAAAAGACGAAAAAATACAAGCACATGTGCATTTGCATAAAGTGCAACAAAGCTTTCGACGCCATAAACACGTTGAAAATGCACATAAAAAAAATACACGGAGGAAACGCGGGTTCGGATAAAAAGAAAAAAAAGAAAAAAGCGGACGAAACACTTCCGGTAGACGGCGGAAATGAAATCAAATTCGATAATTTCGAATGAAATAACTATTTTCCCGAATTCCCGTCGCTTTTAAATTTTAAAAAATTTTTAAAAAAGTGCTTTCATTATTATTATTATTTAAAAAAAACAAATCATTTTAAATCACTGAAACGTTAAAATAATAATTTAATAAAAAAAAAAATGAAGGAAAAATAATTAATCGCAAAAAAAAAAAATAAGGTGCTAAATTTAAAAAAAAAAAATCAAAGTGCAAAAATAAAATAAATAAATTTTTATATATATATATATATATTTAATAACAATCTTATGTATGTATATATGTACATATTAAAAACGGAATAATATCGTACAATTTCCGTTTTAGCCTTAAAAAAAAAAAAAATTTTTTTTTTAATAAAACAATATTTTTTCTGTCAGTATTATTAATATTAAAAAAAAATATGATCAGCATATA